TAATTGGGATATGATCTTCTGCTTCTGCAATTTAATGAAACCAATTTTTCAACCTATTATACCATGACATGTGTGTGTGTGTATATAATTTATTTATTTATTATTAATAAAATGGTTCAGTTCGATTCAGCTGGTTCTTGGTCATTCGAAACCGGAACCGGTTTGAACAGTCCGGTTCGATTTTTCACTCAAAGTTGACATTTCCGGTCAACACGGTTTTTTTTCATACGGTTCGATGCGGTTTTGCGGTTTGGCGGTTTTTATGCCCAACCCTATATGGAGTTAACTTTAGAGGGTAAATTAGGCATTAGATTCACAATCCATATGAATGTTAAGGGTTTAGAGACGAAAAAATGACGGTATTACACTCTAAAGTGTGTCAAGTGACTTGAGTTATAAAAAAATTGTATGAAAGAGCCTTGAATATAGTAGTAGAGATGAAATTAGCAATTTTTAATTAATTTAGGGACTTATTTTACCTAAAAAAATAATTCATAGACCTAATTTTTACTGAGGTAATAGTTCAGAAACTAACTTCGTCCTTAAAAATAATGGAGAAAAGTTTGGTTATATTATTTATGTAATAAATACAATTAAAAATAAAGAGTTTTAAGGTTGGCGGTGGGAGCACGGTGGTTAAACTGCGGTCCTAATCTGCCATACCGAACTTTCATAATGGCTATAGTAGAAATCAAGCATTAGCATTGAAAGTGTACTAAATTTTAAAGTTTATTCATACTTCATCACCTTGCTGTTGACAACCTCCAATGCTACTAACTCGATATAGGGCTCGTTTAAATAGTATTTTTGAATGACTCAAAGCGTTTTGAGGGAAAACATTTTTAAAACCAATCATTGGTAAAATGCAAATTATTCCTAGAAATACACTTGAAGTGCTTCTTATGAGGATTTAAGCCACTGTGGTGAACTCTATTAATATTTAAGTCAAAATTGAAAATTTCAGCAACTCTCCAATAATTATTAGCACGTGAGTCACATTGGTGAAACCAGAATTTCAGGTTATGAAGGTCATCTCACAAATGTTATAAAATAAAAATAAAAACACGATGCAACACCGCCTATAATGCTATCTCTGCAACGACATAGCAACACACTCGCTCATCTAACTCTCAACCATCTCTTAGCCATTGTTTGGTTATTATGTCATCCATCATCAAAATCCAGTATTGATCCATCTCTTCTCTCTGTCTCTCTCACAGTTGTGCTCTCTCTAGATTTTTCGTCTGATTCTGATGTTTATTTGCTCGACTGTTTTTTCAATTCCACCCTATTTCCTCAGCACATTCCGACCAGTTGGGAGCCTTGTTAATTGGCGAAGGAAATAACCTAATAGAAAGGGCTAACGAGAACATGAAAATTGCACATGGATAGAAATTAGAAGCATAATTCAAGCCTGTCAACAACCACTCGCACCATGTGAAAAAGTTTAAACTCTAGGAAAACCAGTTCTTTCGCCTACTTCTTCTAGGTCTGGGTTTAGTTCGGTTCGATTTCCATTTTTTGTTTTTTTTTTTTCAAAAAATGAAAAAAAAAATCTGATCTGAGAGTAGGCATTAGAATTTACGGGCATAATGTTCTATATTTTGGTGTCACTGAGACTTCCAATGCTAAGAAAATCAGTCATTAAGTATACCATGGAGTTTCAAGATATTATAACATTGGTCATGTATTAACATGCAGATACGTAAATTTTCTAAAATAATGAGTTTTATGTACCCATGTTTTTGTTAAAATGTAGTTTGGTGCATGTTTGTATGCACTTATGTGATATTATTATTCTTGTGGTGATGCTTACTTGTTTGATTTGTTGTCATTGTAGGTAAATTACTATGTCCAATCTCACATCTCACATCAAAATGAATGAGTACAGAGATCGTGTTGTATTGGTCAATACTTGAGAATGTTAAGTTTTATCTTTCTAACAAGGAATTCTTTTAGGAGCCTGATTCCCCCCCCCCCCCCCCCCTCTTTTGTTGCAGCCTTCCGCAACGAAGAAGTATGGACAATATATTGGAACGTGTGTGAAGGTTTTGGATATGACTGGTTTAAGGCCCTTGGCATTTAACCAGATAAAGGTATCTCTTGCTATAGCACGAGCCTCTATTTGTTTGCCATTTGTTTTTCTTTTTAATTCTTTTTGTAAGGACCCGTGAGATTGACACTTTGTATGATCTGTTGATGCAACTTTTGACTATTATCTCTACAATTGATGACTTAAACTATCCAGAGAAGACGGATACATACTATATCGTCAATGTCCCATACATATTTTCCGCCTGTTGGAAGGTTTGTATCCTAACAACTCACAGCACATTTGGACTTACAAATTGGGTTTAGAAAATAATATCCAAAACAGATAATTAAATAAAAAAATATTAATTTAATTAATTCGGTTCAATTTCTAGATCACTAAAACTGAACCGAACCAAAAGAATTCAATTCGGTTTTGTTTTTTCGTTCAGTTCGGTTTTTTCGATTTTAGTTCGATTCGATTTTTTGTTTTTTTGGGTTTTCAGTTTTTTGAACCCACCCCTAACTTCTTCTATCCCCTCTGGTTGGGCCCTAATCTCCATAAAAATCTTTGGAGATTATAGTGATAACTCTAGTTTTTCTCTGTGAAACAAAATTTCAGCTAGGTCCATAACCATTATGGTCCCTTCATGGCTCTGCCCTTGGTGAGCCACGCATATGAGACTAAAATGGAGCTCCCTGTTAATTGTTAGCACGTGAGTCGCACATGTCAAGCTACAAGTTGCCTCACATGTGAGCGTACTACCAATTAATGGAGAGTTAACAAAATTTTCAATGTTGGCATAAATCCTAACACGTTTCACCACATGAGCTTAAATCCTAATTTTTTTTACCACATGAACTATCTTTCGACTACCCTATCACTGCATGAACTATTTATCTAATTAAGCCTTTGTATTAACCTCTCACCATCCTTTTCTTGGCTACATACTTGGAATTTGAAAATCATTAACCCAAACATTACCATTAAAACAAACCAAACCGTTCCATTGTGTGCGATAAAGATGTGGACCTACAACCGACTCAGACCGGACAGGACCGCATGATAAAATAAGACGAGAAAAATTAAGGAAATCTAATGAAAAGGGTTTCAAATCTTTACATTTTAATAAATAAAAAAACCACCCACTAACTTTATTTTAATAATAAGAACAAAAAACTAATAAGAAAGATAAATTAAAAAAAAAAAAAAAAAACTAACAAACCCAACCTGCGCTCGGGCGCGTACCCCTCTCCCCTCCCTAACTTCAAACACTCCACTTTTTCCTCCTATCTTTTTGTTCCATCGTCAGCTGCATTTATGGTTTTTTTTTTTTTTGCTTAAAATAAGAAAAATACTTCGAATTATATTGCATTCTCCTATTTTATTTTTGTGGTGTTATTTTCCAATAGTAGTCATGATGACGAGAAACTTTTCAATGTGCCTAGAACACGGGGTGTTACATTTTATACAAGTTGTGAGATTCATATGTTAAAAAATTAATAACACAAACAATAAAAATTTCCACCACTTATATAATAACACGTGGTATTCCATTTGTGTTATGGACACAAGAAAAAATTTCTCCAAGATGACACCCAAGCTCAAGAAATTGGATGGAGAGTTACATTTATTATTGTAGGTATATGAAAAAAGTGAGGAAATTTTAATTTGGTAATTGAAAACAACTTTTTAAATATAATTACTGAGAACATAATCTTCTCAAGGTTTTGATCTAAAAAGTCACTTCTGGGTTCATCGTTTTCGGCACAATAGGTGCTTTTACAGGACCAAAAAAAGTTTAAGTTTCAAACCTTATGAAACTGAACCAAGAATTAAACACTATTTATAAAGCTCCACTAATAAGTAGACACTATTCATGAAACTAGACCAATAAGTAGACACTATTCATGAAACTAGACCAATAAGTAGACACTATTTATGAAGCAAGACTAATAAGTAGACACTATTTATGAAACGAAAACAAGAATTAGGCATTATTTCCAAAACAAAACCAATAGGTATAAACTATTTATGAAATTAGACTATACACTATTTATGAAATTGGAGTAAGAACTAGACAATATTTATGAAACATAACCAATAACTAAGCACTATTTATGAAAGTAGACCAATTACTATACATTGTTTATGAAACTGGACCCAATAACTAGGCATTATTTATGAAATATGATTAAGAACTAGACACTATTTATGAAAGTGGACAAAAAACTAGGCACTATTTATGAAATTGGACCAATTAATAGTATAGTACTATTTAGTTTCATATATAGTGCAGTTTCATAAATAGTTTCAATTTCATAGATAGTGTTTAGTTTCATAAACAGTGTACACGTCTTGCGCGCGGTCATATTTTTTATTATTTTTTTAATTGTGTCATTTTCATTAAAAATTAAGTTTTTTTTGTCATTTTTATTATAATTTAAGGGTTTTTCATTAAATTTTGATTCTTTTTCATTAAATAAAGTTACAGTATAATTTTTTTTTAAAATAAACTTAACCCAAGGCATTTTCATTAAAGTTTCCAAAAAATTAATCGGGTAAATTCCAGTACTCTCTCTACTTCAACACAAACTATAGTAGGGGCATGATACGATCCAATTCTCAATTCCCTTAATCAACCTGCAAGTAGCACAAGAAAGCTATGGAAGAAGAGGGAAGGAGAGATGAAGGAGCAGAGCTCCAAATATTTTTGTATTTAATTTCTTTGTTGTAAATTCTGATCTCCTCACAATACTGAGAGTTAGTGCTCGTATACAAGTTACAACTTATCATGTCAGCTGGACAATTATAACAAACTATGTTAAAACAGGAATAAACCTAATAATCCCAAGAATTAAACCCTTAATAGTGATTAAGCTAATCACTACTTACAGATCATATCAGGGTATATTAGTATTTTTATATTAAATTTTGGTTATAAGTATCATGAAATTAAATGGTGACTATAAAATTGATTATTTGTTCAAATATGCAGGCCTCGGCGTGGCACTGCCGAGCTCGTCTACCAGATCGATCGGAGTCTCTTTCCTTGTGTCCGTACGAAGATTCGAGCGCGCGCGAGAGCTTCTTCTTCTCAATCACGACCGTTTATCTCTTCAAATCACTCTGTAAGTTTATCCTTTCTCTCCTCTCGTTCTTTTCGACTTGTTCGCTCGCATCAATGGTGGCACCACCAATCCCTGAATTGTTACACTTATGATCTCAAAAAATGTTTAAAGAATTCGAGAAATTGAAGAAAATATGAAAATTGGATCGTGTTTTTGGTTTTGCTTGAAATTGATTGATAATTTGTTTTCCCCAAGCTGTTTGTGATGTGGGTAATTTCTCTTGGTTAGGTTTGGGTTTGTAGTAAAAAGGGTTTTAGTGACGACTGTGAGTCAATGGGATTTGTTTTGGGTGAAGTTGGTCTCATGGGGTTGTGGGCTTTTTGTTGATTTTACTTGGTTAAATGCTATAAACAAGTAATTAGGGTTTAGGCTATGTTATGCTCCTAGTTTTTCAACCTATTTTTCGGATCCTGAGAATCGAAAGAACTGTATGTTAATACTGGAATTTTATTTTGTTTATGAGTTGACGTACGAATTGCGAATCCTGGGTTTCGTTGTTTCTTTTCTGCTGAGTTGTTTTTTGTGAATAGAGAACAGCAGTGTAAAAGGATAACCGGTGCTTCTTGCAAAAATCACTTGTGCTTTTGAAACCAAAAAACATTTTCTCCAAAAGTACTTTCAGTCATTTTAAAAGCACATCCAAACGAGCCCTAATTTTAGTGTTTCAAGATTTAGTATTTTGTTGCCAAGGACAATTTTTATGAGGTTAGAGTTGGCACATGGTGTTCATGGTCTTACTCTTCAAAGGTCTATTTCTGAGGATTGCTTTCGTTATATGATACTATGTTTTGCAAGTACTGAATCGTTGCTTTCTATGTATCGCCGAATTTGGTTTCTGGTGATTGGTTGATCAGGAATACACAATTGATATCTACCAAATGGGAAAACCCAATCCTGATGAAAAGATTCTCAGCTACAATGATGTTGTACTCAGACGATCAGACTTGGATATCCTCAGTGGCCCGTATTTTCTCAATGATCGACTCATCGAGTTTTATTTCAGTTACCTGTCATCATGCTCTGAGGAGATATTACTCATTCCACCTTCAATTGCATTCTGGATGATGAATGCAGTTGGTCAAGGCCTCCACGAGTTCCTGGTACCTCTTAATTTGCCTGATAAAAAACTGGTAATCTTTCCAGTCAATGACAATGAGGATGTGAGTGAAGCTGGAGGTGGATCTCACTGGAGCCTACTTGCATTTGAGAGAGATTCTAACGTCTTTGTTCATCATGATAGCAATGGAGGGATGAATAGAAGGCACGCTAAAAAACTGTATGATGCGGTTGTTGACTTCATGAGTGTCTCCAGTTCAGCAACTAAGCCCACTTATCAAGAGTGTAGTGATTCACCGCAACAAGTAAACGGTTATGATTGTGGCTTGTATGTGTTGGCTATTGCAAGGGTTATATGCAGCTGGTACGGAAGTAAAGACAAAGGTGAGCAGACTTTGTGGTTCCATGCTGTGCGCGAGCAGGTCACTCCATCTGTTGTTGCTGCAATGCGAAACGAAATCCTGGAGCTGATAAGAGGTCTCATGCCCGTGAAGTGAAGTTTGCCTACAAAGTGAGAGTCGATGAAGGGGAGAGCGAAATCTTATCCACAAACAAAGTTTAGCATTTTGTTTTTGGTTAAAACAAAGTTTAGCTTTCACTGTCTCTGGTACTTGACATATACAGAATCATGGATCGTTCTGCTTGCTACAAATGATATTATCTGCACGAACGAAAGGTTGTAGGCTAAACTAATAATATTGTGGTTCAAATTTACCTTCAACGAGAATCTAACTTCAGCTCTCACTTACAAGTGAGGAGGAAATTCATTTTCTAATTAATTGTATATGAAAGTATTCTAGTGTCACCCACTAATTATCATGTTAACGTGATCAATGCCTTGGCACGTTTCACAGATAAAATGAATCCTAAATTGTTTTTTCACAAGGAATGCATATTTATTCGATTGTACTGGAACATAACGCAATCCTGGTTTTTTCGCTTTAATTGATTTACCTTCCCAAATTTGTAAACGGATTTCAGCAGAATACATCTCGCAATTGCAAGTGACTTGTAGCTCAATTGGTTAAGAGCACTTGCCCTTACACCTCAATTGGTGTAAACATCATGCGGTTTATATTCACTATAACGAAACGAGACGAAAATGACATTGAGGTGCGTTTCACACGAATGACATAAATATTTATAGGGTAATTACATCAAACTGCGTTGAGGTTTTAAGAAAATTACATGGAACTTCTTACCGTTTCCAAAAACTACACGAACCTTTCACGTCAACGTAGATTTTCATAGTTACAATAACATTTTTAAAACATTGATGCATATGATCAATTATATTGAACATGACAAGTTTTCAACTTTATTGTATTGTATGTACTACTGCACTGACGAAAACAATGAAATGGATGTTTCTTATAATAGTAGGTGCCGCCTTGAAATGATCGGTATGAAAAAGAATTGTGAAGATCGAACCATCTAGTAGCCAGTTCCCTCTGAAGTTTCCCTCAGCTGGAGCTCGTGAACAAGTTTTATGGGGTAAAGCCAATGATTAGAGGTATCGAGGGCGCAACGCCTTCGACCTATTCTCAAACTTCAAGTAGGTAGGCAGTTCCGGTTTTGTTTTTATTGTGACTTTGTGGTGCAACTAAAGCTTGATGGAATTCAAACTTGTATACAATATGTACGATAGATTCACAAGTTTCTTACACATTTGTAGGTCAGTCGGTCATGTCATGCTTGTATCCATCGGGTAACTCCCTAGCACCCGCAAGAATGTTGCAAACTCCTGCCAAGGAAATGTATATTGGTTAAGATTTATTTCCTTCGTAGGTTAACGAAATTGTTCAACTAAAAGACAACCCCCCCCCCCCAAAAACATAAGAAAAGAAAAAGAAAAACAACGAAAACCTTGAGATGCCGAAGGGCATTTTGTGCATTCTGATCAGCCATTGATGCTTCAAAATCCACATAAAAAAGATAGTCAAAGTACCTGTACGAAAATATGGGACATGATCAGGAAAAAATAGAAAAGGTTAAACTAGACAACTCTTAAGTAGATCAAACAGTTATGAATTGTCGCCAAAATCAAATTGGGGGACGGAATTCATATTCATGCCGTAGAGTGTGTGTGAGTGTGTGTTTCATTAACAATGAAGTATAATTTAGTTGAGATGGTTACAGTACTTACTTTGGAGATCCACCGTTACTATCATCAGATGCTCGCAGGGGCTGCATCTGCAAAGGACGGCTTTCAATCTGGTTAACAAAACAAATTAAGCAATCATTAGGTGCAACACACTTGCAAAAGAAACTATACAAAAGACACAGGGAAAAGAAAAACCCCGAGAACTACCTTTGTAAGATTGATTTGACGCAAAGCAAAAACAGCCAGAGCCTTGAAAAGGACCCCAGGGCCTTCCTCTAGCGAGAAGACTATACTTGTCTAAAATTGCAAAACCATGCGATCAACAAAATAAAAAGTCAATTCACAAAAAGGAGGTCTGGCCACCGTAAACTGGATTACCAATGAATTCAACAATTCAACAGCCAAAACTTGTTAATCTTAAAAGGGCTAAACCTTGAATGGCCTATCTGTGCCAGGAATAATTGGTTCTCTAGCAAGCATTAGAAACCGAGTAACATTGTCAGAATCATCCTGTATATTTCAAATAAGTTACCACTAGAGTGAAGTCTAGTTCAGGAAAACACCAAATGTTCTTCGAGACAAACCTGAATATCCTGCGCAAGTATTTGCAGACCATATATGCCTGCAGCAGCTGAGCTGGCAACAGCTCCTGTATCCTTCAGTTTGTGGAAAGCAACATGCTACCATTTATAGAATGCACTATCAGCCAGATCAATATAAAAGCCAGCATAGTTAATCTAAAATTTGATTAAGATGATTGTAGTTTTATCTATAGCGTCAAATCATGCAACCGACGCCAACCGTATTGGACCAGAAGGCCCCTCTCAGCTGAAAGTAATGAAAGTGGCTCTGCATAGAAGATGCCACAAATTATAGTTTCAGGGAAGAAAAAAGATGAAAAACTGTGGTAGCAGCTTCTGGCCGAATCACTTCGTTTCACTTCACCAAATATACTGTTCTAGTTTAGAATACAAAATGTGATGTTATTTTGTGATGTTCTATTCTATAGCTTAAAGTCCGCATTCTTCAGGGAGTTGCGACCAAAAGCAAATCCCACATGCATATCATGACTCATGAGGTATACTTGGCATCAGGACTTACTGGAGTAGAGAATCAGCTATCCATCTGATCAAGGGCTTACCTTTGCTGCACCAGCAGTATCGTCCACTGCTTCTCTGACCAATCCCAGCTTCGTTAACGTGTTCTCACACTGATCAAGAGCCTGAAATATGACTAGTTATGGGGGAGAACCATGATAATATACTAGATGGCCAGAGAATCTAGACGGAATGCTTTATACACCTGTGGATGGCTAAGAACCCTTTTTAGGCCTTCAATTTCAACACCATGGTTAGCCAGTAAGCAATGGCGAACTGCAAGTTTCACTTCCCCTACTATATGCAACCTGTGCCTGAGTAAAAGGTCGTAGTTTCTGTGGATGCTTCCACCTAATGAATTCTCAATTGGTAAGACTGCTGTCCACAAGCCAACGTTCAACAGCCTGCGTCGAGTTTAGTTGAAAAGAAATTAAGAAGCAAAAGATTGAAGAGTCCAGGCTGAAAATACAGAGTGATTACTAGGCCCTGTTTGGTAATCAACTTGATTCCAACTTTTTAAAATCATGTTATTCAATTACTCCTCACAAAATCATGCCCCTAAAGAAAACATTTTGCCTGTCGCTCGACTTAGCAAGGTCCAATGGCTTCAGGTTCACGAAAAAAGATGCATAACGAAGATCACATCCATAAGATTTTATAAATGTAATTTCTCTTAATAATATATAAGTGAGAGCCTTGTGATCATTTTATTTCCATAATCCAAGTCTGTATTATTCATTAACAAATATTGCAAACATAAAAAGAATGTAATACTGCTGATTCACAGTTTAATCCAACAATAAGAAAAACAATGGTGATGAAGAAAAGTGAGGTATGCACCTCAAAAGCGGTATCGAATTGTTCACAAGGCACTGCTTCGCAATTTGGATACGCTTTCTCCGCAGCTGATTCACTGTATGCTCCATGAACCCCCTAAAATTTCAACATTCAACAATCTCAAAACAATTGAATTATTTTCATTCTAATACCAATTCCAGACTCATATTACTAAAGCCAAAAATTAGCATTATTCAAATTATTTACACATATATACACTAAAAAACGATCTACTAAAAAAAAAAAAAAGGTCGTACCCAGTGCACAAGGCTCCCGCTTTACGCAGGGTCTGGGAGAGGTGAATGTCGGCTAGCCCCATTTATGGAGAGGCTGCTCCCAAGTGCAGCCCAGATGATGACCCTGGTCTAAATCAACCACTCAGATCAGATTTAACAAAGGCCTTAAGTAAGGATATATTTCTCAGCTATTTAGATCAAATCTAGATTCTAGATAGTTAATAGGCACAATAGGTGAGACTTCAGCCGTCCATATTTGCCAATAAACGAGAAGCAAGTTTTAGCTCAAATTGGATACCAATACCAATCTAACTTTTCCTATCTAGATACAACAACAACAACAAAGCCTTATCCCACTAAATAGGGTCGGCTATATGAATCCTAGAACACCATTGCGTTCGGTTCCGTGCCACATCTTCCGTTAGGTTCAAGTACTCCAAGTTTTTTCTTAGAGTCTCTTTCAAAGTCTTCCTAGGTCTTTCTCTACCCCTTCGGCCCTGAACTTCTGTCTCGCAATGGCATCTTCTAACCGGAGCATATGTAGGCCTTCGTTTCACATGTCCAAACCACCTTAACCGATTTTCTCTCATCTTTCCTTCAATCTCGGCTACTCCTACTTTACCTCGGATATCCTCATTCCTAATCCTATCCTTTCTCGTGTGCCACACATCCAACAAAGCATTCTCATCTCCGCTACACTCATTTTATGTATGTGTTGATACTTTACCGCCCAAGATTCCATGCTATAAAGCATTGCTAGCCGTCTTATAAAATTTTCCTTTGAGCTTTAATGGCATACGACAGCCTTATTGCCGTCCTATCTAGATAACAAAATAAAAGGTTACTAAAAAACAATTTTCATACACATTTAGATAAGATAGCTCATCATCTCCAATTACAGTAAAATTGGCGCACAAGGGCGATATAAGAAGAATGCTCAGTCAAAACTTGGTTTCTAATAAAGTCAACCAAATAAAAGCAACTGATAAGTATAAAGCTACTTTTACACAGGTGCACTTTGTAAAATTTATCAACATATACATACACAATATACACATCTATATATTATATATAATGCAATCATGACATGACATTTTACTCATCCATAAATATCAAAATCCATTCTTTGTTCATCAAACTTTAAATTGTTTTACTTTTTATAAGAAACCCAATTGTCAGAATTTGAATATCAGTTGTTCAAACTAACCAACTTAACTAACTTTCAAAGGGGAAAAAAGTTAGAGCATCTTCAAGGGAGATGTTAAAATGTTCAAATCAGCAATAACGGTAACAAAAGACAACATTAATGTTTTCCAACCGATAAGCCAAATCTGATGAGGCATGACATAGAGTGACATCTCTCCCCTTCTGCCAAATTTGACAGCACCTTCAGATTTTTTTAATTAATTATTAAAAATTGGTTTAAACCATTATCCTTTTGTTTCTTTTCATTCCCAATGCAAAGAAATTACATATGAATTATTATTTTATGTTTAAAATTTGACATATGGGTTGGAGAT